AAAAAATTATTTTTCTTTATTTTGTTAAATCAAATTAAATTTTTACTTTTGCATAACAATATGTTTATAGTTGAAAAACAATTCATTCAAAATAATAATAAATATATACTAAAATATATAATAATAATTAAAACCGTTATTTAACTTCATTGAACTTTAAGAGGAGGGTCATTTCAAAGTTTTTATCTGCTAAGGATGCTCTTCTCTTCTCGAACAACTGTCCCCCAGCACTGAACAAGCGTTCTACATGCGCAGATGATGGAACTGCAGTATTTAACTCTAAATATGGCTTTTTGAGAATTTGTGGTAAATCATTAACATTTTTAATATTATTATTTGTAAAATAATCATTTATGATAGTTTTAATATCATTATCATTATTTGATATTAAAGTTTCATTGAAAATAAAAAAATTATCCTCAGCATTGTCACCGGAAGAAGTATCAATATTTTGAAAAGTTGAACTTAATGTTACATTACTTTCTTGTGAATTTTCAACACTTTGTTCACTAACATATCCATATAATGCTTCTTTAATATCATTTCTCTTATCTGGATCTGCCCAGTGAAGTTTAAACTTTGGTATTAAACAAGCTGCCAATTGACATGATTGAGATTCGGTATATCTTTGAAATCTATAAAATATAATAGCAATTTACAAAATAATAATACACTAAAAGTAAATTATTTTCGCATAATTTGAATATTTAAATATTTTGGAGTCATGGATGGATATATATTATATATATTTCATATTCACAATTAAAATGAATTACCTTTTATCTGTACCTTTCTTTAATGCATTAACAAGCGGTCTACAAAAAGATAAATTGTTCATCTCGTTTAATGATTTATTTATTACACTTATTGTGGGGAGCAGGTACCCTAATGACACATGTTTATCTCCCTGCAGTATATCCAAGGCCTGAGCTATAGGCTTCATCACCTAATATAATTTGGAAAACAATAAAATTCATGTTATAAAAATTTTATTGTTATAACTATGTACAAATTATTAAATTAATAGATTAAATTTGTCATTTACTTTGCAATATTCATTTAAAAACGCAACTTCTCGAGGTTTTGAAATAATTGGCAATTGCAGCTCAATACAGATCATTTCAATTTTTTCTATATGATTCACAACACATTTTATGGCGTCATAGTAAGAATTCCACCTGGACATACAATAAAATAATAATACAATTAAGACAATTATTTATTTATTTGTACATCTTTAAATACTTTTGTTCAAAACAAAAAATTCTAATTTAAAAATAATAAGTAATAACCTTGTTGCATTAGGTGTAATAAGATATCGACCTAGGTATTTTTTTATTTGATCAGCACAAAGCGTTGACTGATTTTGTTTGTTAAAAAGTTTTTGGCACTTTCCAAACACTCTCTTACTCATAAGTCTATATGTAACATCCTTTTCAGCTTCACGTATATCGTTCACAGCAATCAAATTTAAGGTGTGCGCTGCACACCTTTGATGGGGAGGCAATGAGAAAGCCAAAGACTTTTCTATGTCTTGTGATTCCAAAACATCGGTTAATTCTATAATTTCAATGTTTGTTGGATCAATATTCGTTTCTACTGTTTCTGTGGCATCAATTTCATTAACTGTATGGTCAGTTTCAGTTTCATTTTCATTACTGAACACTCTAAAGTATAAATTTACATAAATAATTAATTATTTTAATCTATAGTTGAAAACTATTTAGAATACATTATTCTATTAGTTCATAACTGTAGCAATATACTTTATAACTTTATAAAGTTATAAATATAATTGATTTTATAAATATACACACATTCACAGATATAATGTCCAATAAAAAACAACAATATTATTTTATTTAAAAAATTAACTAATTAATTCCAACTGACTCAAATAATACATTTGAACTGTTGTGATATATTTAATATTATAACCTATATGTGTTATGTAGGTACTTTATTTGAAATGCAAAAAGTCTAGAGAAATAACAATATACATACCTAAAAGCCTTTACGAAATTTGCAGCATTATCTGTAACAACTAGGGTTGTTTTATTTTGAATATTAAATTCATTAAGCACCTTATCAATGCATTCAGCAATGTTATCATATGAATGATGCCCGATCATGCGTCTACATGCAAGCGCTTTAGAATTGCGCTCCAGTGTGCTAGGCTCAATCCAATGCACCGTGAAGCCAATATATGATCTATGACCAGAAAATAAATAAAAATAATAATATTAAAATCATTACATGTTAATATTATGCCCACAATAATATAATTTAATTCATAATTACCTATGAAATATACTCCAACAGTCTGCAGTTATACAAACATAATTAATATTTACAAAATCATCCTTCATTCGTTGTATCATCTGGTTATACATGCACTCTACATTGCGCATTAGGGTTCTTCTCGAGACTGGAACTTTGTTTGATGTTATTTGACAATACTTAATAAAAGCTGGATGTTCAATTAAAGAATACGGAGATACAGTACTAATTATGAGCTGTAAATTAGCATTGTCAAATTCAGCTTGACTTAAATTTTTTGAACGAACTTTGCCTACTTCGCAAAGTTTTAACTGCTTTTTTGATTCTTGAACAGAAAACTCTTCATTCGATCTTTTTTTGGTACAAATATTGAATGCATTTAAATGATTGTGATGTACAAGCTGGAAAATATATTATTTATTATTCATTAGTAATATTTAAATGTCCTGTTAGCATATTTTATTTTAGTTTTAATTTTAGCTCTAAATGTACTACAATTTTTCCATGTGTTCTATTAAATTTCATCTATTATAACAATACTTAAATAAAAATGAAAAATTATTATTTATTTTTTTAACTAGGTAAACAAATTTAAATAATTAAATTTATTATCCTATTCTTATAAATGCATATATACTTATTCAATTTGAGTACCTATAATTAATGATTATTTAACAATTAAATATTTTTATAATTTAAGAATACTTAACGTACTTTAATATGTGTTCTTAAATTTGAGTTGGATGTTTGGGAAGTAGAAATCTTTTTATTTTTTGGTTTGCATAAAATGCATTTGAAATATACATTTGGTCCATCATCTTTGCTTGGTAATTGTTCAAAGTAATCGTTTAAGAATGGCCATCGTAATGTTATTTCCGTTTCAGTCATGACGAAAATCTTAATGCTGAAAGACATTAAATAATAAGATACAATTCAAAATAATTAAATATCTATTTCTACTTCAATATTAGTTGTTACTTAGTACTTACCTTATGCAAATGTCCTTATATATTGATTTAAATTGTTGAATAGGATGAGTAAGTATATTCAATTATTATATTTTAATTATAAACGTGCATACTGTTTATGACRTTCGTGTACAACCACAAGTTCACAACTGAATACTGATAAAATGTCAGGCCCACATCAGTACATCACACAAAATCAAAATATCGATAATTGGTTTTTGTTTATTTTTAGACTTGTTGGATTTATTTTTTCCCGAAATGAC